AGGGAAAGGGAAAGGGCTGGCAGACCCATGTCACCAAGGTATCTGCTACTGTCAGGGGGCAACATTGAGTATCTCTATAGGAGGTTTTTGCATGCCATAAGAGTGCTTGGTGACTGCTGTCTGCTTCTTTGCTTGCTTCTCAGTTGTCAGAAACAATGCAGAGTATGCTGTCACACAGGGAGCAGGAGAAGGGATCCTGTGTACACTGATCAGGGGAAATTGCAGGCGGGCTGGAGAAGTGCATGAGGCATTGATCAACAGTTGGCAGGGTGACAGCTGTAAGGAAGGTGCTTGTTTTGCTACTCCATGCCCAGTTCTCTGATGCTTTTTAAGCTGTTACAACTTACAAATTGAATAATACGTGAGTAGAAGTCTTTCAATCTGGAAGCTGTACTTCTCCAGGCATGAGTTTGGCCTCAGTAGCTTCCATGGCAGGTGCCAGCTTTTGTTTCCACTGTCTGCTAAGCCCACAGAATCTGCTTGGCAACAAGCAGCTACTGAGTTTTAACAGTGAGAGCTCAGTCGGGGCTTTCAACTGATTGGAGGCAATTCAAGGATCATAAACTGAGACCCTGCACCATGTCAGGCTGCTTGTTCCTTTCCAGCCTTAGTCTGATGCATAGGTACAATGCAGCAGGCAGGTATTTTTTCATACTTCAAAAACCTTTGCAGCTGTAGGCAGGCAGCTCATTTCTGAAGATGTAAGCAATGGCTTATTGTTCTGGATGGTTTACATGCAATCCTAGAGTAAAATATTTCTGTGTTCCAGGGTGGGGAGATTCAGTAGGCACTCCTTCTGAGAGAGGGATGACCTATGATGCCCTTCATGTGTTTGACTGGATAAAGGCAAGAAGTGGAGACAATCCTCTCTATATATGGGGGCATTCCTTAGGCACTGGGTAAGATGCTTATCACCTCTTTAGAATACTAAGAGTAGATAAATATTGACTTAGACTAACAAGATGTATGTTACAATCCTTTCTTTTTTTGCCATTGGTTTGGCTCTGAATCTGTGAGTGTAATTGCTGCAAGACAGTTTCTTGGCTCTTCAACATAGGAACTAGGATGATGAATGGTTATGAAGGGATAGACCTTGGAGTCTTGATTCCCAGGGCAACCATATTGGAAACTAGAAGGTGGTAAAATCAGCATGACTCCAGGTCACCAAAGAGAAATAGCAAGCAGATTATGAAGTGAAATGATTGGTACTGTAAGCAGCATGACTCCAGGGACAACCATTGTGCTGCACCTCTTCCCACCAGTGATGAATTTACCCCTATATTTGTGTTTATACACACTGACAGCTTGATCTCTGTCTGCAAGAATAAAATCTTGTTCAGTCAGATCTTAATTCTCAAATGTATACATGATTTCCAGAAAAATATTGGGGTAATTAAGTTATTAAAATGGTGGTTTTTAACTTGTAGAAAGGCAGTATGAAAAATTATTCTTTAAAAGGTGTAAGCAACAACAAAACTTAATGTATTTTTTAACTATTTTATATTCATCATTCTGTCAATTAATTGTCAAGCTATTTTTTCATATTAAGCTGCTTGGAAATTTAACTTGCCCACTTTAGAACTGAAGAAGTTTCTGTTGAGAGCTGACTTTTTTAATGGCATTATAGAGCTCATCCCAGAATGGAGTGAAGGAATTACACTGGAGAAATGTTGAATATTAGAAATGGGACTACTGTCAAGATTTTCATTCCCAAATCTGTCAAGACTAGCTATCAAGTATTCTAATGTGAAATATATTGATAGGCAAACCCACAAGGGAAATGCTGGAATCTTTAGATTTATGAGAGCGCACAAGTGTCTAGTTTTAAATGTTTTTTTTCCCCTTCAGAATACTGCCAAAACCCTACCCAAGCAGGAGAATGCAGTTGTTTCATTACATTGCATCTGTTTACCTCTTCTAGTTTTGCAAACATCCTCCTTTTAATCAATAAATACAGGGCTTTCTTTACAAATGACTGGTGTCCTCAACTTACTGGCACAGATCTGTAGTAGTGTGGGTTCCAGAGCCGTGCCAATGCAACAGCTCCAGTAGCTATGCTGATAAGTGTTGCAGGCCGCAATTTAACCACTCACAAGCCTCATGTGGATCGTGGGCTGCCCGTTAGATGGCTCTGGGGCAGAGCATCCTCATGATCTTCCCTGTGAAACAGAAAGGTATATACTCTGTGGCTGTATATCCCAGAGGGAGGGTTACTTGAATTCACTGGCAAAAGGGGCTCTTGCAGAATCATTGGTGACCTCAAGGCAGGAAGAACATGTGAGTATGGAAGCGCAGGGCCTTAGGGAAGAGTGGGATGAAAAGAAAATGGCAATTGGAATGGGGAGTCCATGTTGGGAGTGTGTGTGGAGCATGTGAAACTAGGGAGCGAAGAAATTTACTGGTATATCTGAACAAAACTGTTGGTATATCTGAACAAAACTAAAATCCAGCATCTCAAGTGTCTCCAGTCCTTTGGCTGTCGTGGGTGTCCAAAGGAAATCCAGCTTGAACAAATAGCTGCTCCTTTAATTTGCATTCTGATAAAAACAGAAGTGATGAAATTAGAAAGAATAAAGCATTTTTGAGATGTCCTTCAAGCTTGCTTCAAAGACTGGGTAAGACCCATTTCTCTACAAGTTGCAAACCAGCAGTCACCTGTGTTACTTTCACCACTGGCGTTCTTTGCTTCCAGCACTGACTAGAAATGTAGAAGCCCTGAGATCTGTTTCAGAAATGGGTCTTTCAAGCAGCAACATATGATGCCTTTTCTTTGGGAGTGGCAGGCGGCAAGCACTACTCTTTTCTAGCAATGAATGATAAAAATGTTTGGTTTAATGCTAAACTTTTTTTTCTTTCTAGGGTTGCAACGAACTTAGTGAGACGCCTTTGTGAACGAGGTGAGGCTAGTGAAAAAAGGAGCACTCAGTGTGGCACTAACGTCTGCTCAGTCACCTTGTAGTGATGAAGGCTCAGCTTGCCCTGACTTCCTTGTAGCAGCAGTGTTGTCATGTGCTCTTGTTTATCATTCTCTTAGTTTGACTGGAGCATGGTGTGACAGGGGGCCTTACCTGGGTCGGGTCTCATCATTGGCCTGCCCACCTGTCTAGGGCAGTCTGCCCTGCCTCGTCTGCCATGCCTTGATGGACCAAAGAAGATGGAAAATTGTGGGAGGCTGCCCATTTAGTGCCCTGATGCCTAGGGTGTTATACACGGTTCTGAACCTCCCTTCCAGTTGGCCCATGTGCAGTCCTTCAGGCCCCCTAAGGCCCTACTCTGTTTTATGACCAGATTACGAAACGCCTGGATACAGGAGGAGGGGTGGATGTCGTGTACTTAGACTTCAGGAAGGCCTTCGATACGGTATCCCACCCCATACTGGTGAACAAGTTAAGAGGCTGTGACTTGGATGACTACGCAGTCCAGTGGGTGGCGAATTGGCTGGAGGGTCGCACCCAGAGAGTCGTGGTGGATGGGTCGGTTTCGACCTGGAAGGGTGTGGGCAGTGGGGTCCCGCAGGCCTCGGTCCTTGGACCGATACTCTTTAATGTCTTCATCAGCGACTTGGACGAGGGAGTGAAATGTACTCTGTCCAAGTTTGCAGATGACACAAAGCTATGGGGAGAAGTGGACACGCCGGAGGGCAGGGAACAGCTGCAAGCAGACCTGGACAGGTTGGACAAGTGGGCAGAAAACAACAGAATGCAGTTCAACAAGGAGAAATGCAAAGTGCTGCACCTAGGGAGCAAAAATGTCCAGCATACCTACTGCCTAGGAAATGACCTCCTGGGTGGCATGGAAGTGGAAAGGGATCTCAGAGTCCTAGTGGACTCCAAGATGAACATGAGTCGGCAATGTGACGAAGCCATCAGAAAAGCTAATGGTACTTTATCGTGCATCAGCAGATGCATGACGAATAGATCCAAGGAGGTGATACTTCCCCTCTATCGGGCGCAGTTGGAGTACTGCGTGCAATTCTGGGCACCGCAATTCAAGAGGGATGCGGATAACCTGGAGAGAGTCCAGAGAAGGGCCACTAGTATGGTTAAGGGCTTGCAGACCAAGCCCTACGAGGAGAGACTAGAGAAACTGGACCTCTTCAGCCTCCGCAAGAGAAGGTTGAGAGGCGACCTTATGGCTGCCTGTAAGTTCATCACGGGGGCACAGAAGGGAATTGGTGAGTATTTATTCACCAAGGCGCCCCCAGGGGTTACAAGAAATAATGGCCATAAGCTAGCAGAGA